AAGACAGACCTTCCAACATTTTATGATGAGAAAGAGGAACACTTTCCAGCACAATGTATTTAGGCAATGGGCACACCCTGGCCACGCCCTCAGTTATATATAGGCAATGGACACACCCTTGTCATGCCCCCAGTTTATATAGGCAATGGACACATCCCTTCTAGGTTCCTAGTTTCTATAGGCAATGGGCGCACCCCTGTCAGGCCCTCAGTTTATATTAGCAATGGACACAGCCCTTCCATGTCCCCACTTTATATAGGCAATAGACACACCGTGGCCATGCCTCCAGTTATATATAGGCAATGGACACACCCGTGCCACTCCCCCAGTTATATATATAGGCAATGGACACACCCCTCTCCCACCCCCAGTTATATATAGGCAATGGACACTCCCCTGTCACTCCCCCAGTTACACACACCATTAATAATTTATATTCCAAAAAATTAATGGGTTAAACCCAGAATTTATTTTTATAATTTCTTTACCTTTATTCTGGCTTTTCGAAATAGCAAACAAGATCATTGAGATATAAGATGAAGGTTTTATTGTAATTGTAAAATATATAGATTATAAAGATATCTGAACATCGCACCAAAAAGGACAACTGAGGAAGAAAGAGGTGCAGAGGGATTTGTTTCCAAATGAGGGACAGTTGGTAGGTTTGGATATACAGTAGCTCTGTTTTTAGCAAAGTTGGTTAATGAGAACATTTTCACAGCTCGGATTAAAGCGAAGGAGGAATTAGATATTTAAAAATGTGACGGAGTCTCTTTTAAATCTTGTGACTTTCCTGAAAGGCTTATTGCGGGAATGTTGAGGGAACGAAAAATTAAATTTCACACAAACATCACACATATGGAACAAAGAGATACACTACAGTAGATTAATTAAGGCAGTGTTTAAAAGTAAATAGGATTATTAAAAAGTAATTATTGCTTTCCTTTCCAGCAGCGGCGGAGGAGAGAGGCAGTGAAATGAAGCAGAGGAAATAGTCTGAGCCCATGCACAGCGGAAAGTACTCACCAGCTAGCTGCCTCTCTAGGCACACGCGAGATAATTACTCAGCACGGCGATCCTCCGCACAATGGAAGACACAATACTAAGAAACTGCACTGAGATATAATGAAAGGGGGCGAAAAAAGCCATTCACATATAGAAGAAAAGCTTCAAAAAGAAGCGCCCATTGCATCGAAACTGGCCATATAACACGACCCCGGTGTCATTTCACAAAAAGAGCCACATGCTCGGCCAAAAATCTCTTTCAAGTGCACCTGTATTGAACATAAAACGAGATAGAAGTAGATCTGAACCCTAACTGGATGACATGTAGTTTGTAAAAGCACCGTGTATCATAAACAATTCCTATAAAATACTGTTAATCCTTTTCTTTTATGCTTGGTGGTGCTGCTGCTGCTCAGGCCTCTTTCAGCCACTTCCTGCTGTCTATATGCACTCATGCCAGGATTGGCTGCACATCATTGGTGGACAATGCCTGCTCAATGTGCGCCGGTGTTCTGTCGAAAGCTGTAACTCCTCGAGATCTCCAACTGCCTGACTTCCGGTATAGTTAGAAGTAAGAGGTTTGGCAGAGAAAGCTGTACTGCACGTGCGCCACCCTCTGCATTTCCCTACACACACACTACACAGCAATAAAGTATTATAATGAACTAGGATCACACTTATCCAGCACGTTATTAATCTGAGTTGCCCCGCTCAATATGGCCACCGTTTGCGGCCCTATTGAGTGGGGCAACTCAGATTAATAACGTGCTGGATTAGTCTGACCCTAGTTCATTATAATGCTTTAGTGCTGTGTAGTATGTGTGTAGGGAAATGCCGCGGGTGGTCCACGTGCCGTAGAGCCAACTCGCCCAAACCCCTTACTACTAACTAAAACGGAAGTGAGGCCGTTGGAGATCTCGATGAGTTGGAACTTTCGACACCAGCACAGCTGCTTGTAGCACCCATCAGGGGCAGGTGAGACAATGTGACAATGCAGGAGTACAATTGGAAGACATTACAGGAATTCCCCGAACAAGGACCTTCATTAAAGCGGACCTTTACCCCCTTTGACTAAAAATCACATCAGCGTACAGCTCTGTGTGCTGATATGAAATCGTCTTACATTCATTAGCTAAACAAACATATTTTTACTTTACTTGCAATTTCTTTTTTCCACTTCCTGGTTCACTTTGGCACAAATGATGTAAGTGTGCCCAAGCATTGTATCCTGGGAAGGTTACATCAGCAGAGCATTGCTGGGAAATCTCATCTGTAATCTCAAGAGATCTTAGGGAAAGGCATTTTCCTCCCCTGAGTGCATGGTCACATGTCCTAGTCACATGTGCCAGAGTTCCAGGAAGTAAAGGGAGATATATTAATCTGCCCTTAGTTAAAATGGCCGCTGTTGGAAAAATGGGAAGGAAAAGAAAAAAAAGGTACTCAAAAAAAAAAATGAGCAATTATCTAGAAGTATCTGTTTGTAGATTGTCATTACTAAACATTGTAAAGGCCTTTGTTGTTATTTTGCAGATATGGGTGAAGATCCTCTTTAAGGATCACCAAGTTGTATTTTAGTAAAAGCTGCATATTTAAAGTAGTATTAAACACACAAACTTTAATAATGATTTCAGAGCAAACAAAATATTTTTTTGCCCAGCACAAAAAATATATTTACATTTTTGGCCAAGGACTTACAATCATCATAGCTCTAAACAGCTGCCGCCAACTCTCTCAGCTTCATTTCCCTGAACGTCCTGTCCAGTACAAGATCACAAGGGACAGAGCAGCAGCTGTCCATCTGCTAGTTTTTAGAATAGAGGAGAGGGGAGCACAAAGGAGGACAGCGTCTCGCCTTGCTGTGTCTGTATATTTGTGGACACGCACAAAGCTTACTAGCACACGCAAGGGTGGCTCCATAGGACCCTGCAAGGTAAAGGGGCCACTCTAAAACTGGAAGTAAGGTCCAGTGCTCAGGGGCCCAGCTGATTCTACAGGAAGCTAAAGCTTTTAAACATCAAGGAGCAGCATGCATTGTAAGTGATTTAATGAAGAACATCAGGATTTCTTTAAATTAACCCTTGCAATTGGACTACCCCTACACTTCAAGGGTTAAGTGCTCATTTGTGTCTAGGTGGCAATGCAGCATTGGACTCTACTTCAGCGTCCTCATGCCTATACACTATGTATGGGCGTTGATGATTTAGGGCTCAGTCACAACACAGATGCAGTGTGTTTCCGGCCCGATTCTGGCCAGAACGCACTGCATCTCATTGCGGCCGGCTCACTATGTTGCGGGAACGTGGCGGTCCATTGAAGTGAATGGCACCGTAGCCACGCCCTCCGGCCGCAATGCGATCGGCCGCACGGGATCGCAAAGAACATTATGCCTGCGTTCCGGTCCGAACAAAATAGTGCTTGCAGCATTTTGTTCGGACCAACCCGGACCGCAGGCATGATGTGCCTTGCGATCCAGTGCGGCCGATCGTATTGCGGCCGAAGGGCGTGGCTACGGTGCCATTAACTTAATTGAACCGACACGCCCCTCCTGCCCAACAAAAACTTTGCCGGCCACAATGCGAGGCAGTGCGTTCTGGCCAGAATCTGGTCAGAACACACTGCATCTGGTGTGAACGAGGCCTTACAGGACCCTAGAACGCTGCAGAGGAGGGGTAGAGACGTTGGAAGGACCAGTCTAAGAAGAAGCCGACTTGGAGCTTCGGGTAAATCTATCTTTTTTTTAACCTAGACACAAACAAGCACTTAACCCTTGCAGTGCGGGGGTAGCCCCACTGCAAGGGTTAATAAATTCAGCATTTGAAATAGCATAAAAACCTTTTGACTTTAATATCACTTGAAGTAGGTTGAACACAACTTGACACTGACATGGTAAAGGTTATAGGAGATTTTAGTGACTGGATTTAGATCTGCTAAAAGCCTAAACGCTTTCTTGTCCAAAGGGCAATGTTATTGCAAATATCTTCAAAGAATTGCAGGAACTTTTCAATGTTCCTATACAAATACCAATTTTCTGACAGTTGACATTTGGATAGGCAGCCGAAAGTCCCCCATGGTGACCCTGTTTGGGCTCAGAAACAAATTGTTTAGGCCTAAAGAGATGCATTGGAAGGGGAGGAAGGAGAAGTTGTGCCTGTTCCTGCTATAACCCAAAAGTTGGGTTAGTTTTGGAGCGTCCGATGCCTCTTTGAATAGATTGTAGGAAGTAATCGTTTGCCCCCAACTGTTTGTTTTGAGCATGGCCCACTATGTTTTTAGTCACTCAGCCCAGCACACATTCTCCTGTTCAGTTTGGACAGAACAAGACAGAACAAGACTATTTATCTATGGGAACAGAAATATGAACTTAGTCGAAAGAAGGAACACTATTAAACCCATTTTAGGTAAGGGTGTCACCAACACAGGAAGTGACAGGAAATCTCAGGAAATCACAAAAGCTCCTTATCATTTTAGTGAAACAGCTTTGTGTTCATGGAGGGCGCTGGGGACGCTGAGCTGTCATTACAAGTGGGCGGAGCCAGCCGTGATCTATCACCAGCTCTCATTTGCGGAGCAAAAGTCCGGCCTTCAGCAGGCCATTCGCCCCGATTTGGCTGACATGAGCCGAAGCAAATACCTTCTGCTCGGGTGAGCCGCTCGGCCGCTTTTGGCTGCTGTACGGGTTATTGTGAATAGCCCATACAGCAGCCCTTTGGTTGGATTGAACCGAAGGGCTCCGGCGGCCAAAGAGAGCCGAAGGATCAGCCAAAGCTATGGCTGTATCCTTCGGCTCCTTTGGGAATAGCCCCCTAAATGTAATTCGGGTATGGTTTGGTTTGTCATTCGGGTAATGATCAACATTATTATGTCTAATGCGCAGTGAGATGTCCACTTTAAAAATACTCACCAGCCCGAGAAGCACATATATGAGAAGCACATTTGCAGTTGGCGGGAAGGTTGAAGTACAATCGGCTCATGTTTTTCTTGCTCTCTTTTTATAGATCCCTCACATAAAGGTGGGACCGGAAGAAGCCCCCAAGCTCCAGTACCTGCGCTTCGCGTCTGTCAGCCTGTATCCGAGCAATGAAGACATCAGCTTGGCTGTTTCCCACATCCTGAAGTCCTTCCACAACCCTTCCACCAGCCTTATCTGTGCCAAGGCCGAATGTAAGTCATTTCAACGGCAATTGTTCTGTTATTAACAAACAAAACTCCGGGCTGCAGGACGTAGGGGCGGTAGGCAGTGTTCTTCATTCTTCCAATGACAAAGATTTTAGCATATATTAACAAGAGTCATTTAAGGTTACTGTATCCCTCCGAGCCTCCATGGTGTTTCTTTGTAGCCACAGCAGTCATGACAAAATGGCCAGTGAAGGAAGGAGATGCAATAGGCTTAAAGAGAACCAGTCACCAGCAAGCATTGGTCAGACTTACAATTTCCCCTCTTTTATAATGGTGCAGGTCTGATGATGAGGGATTACTTGATTTTTTCTTCTCTTGTATTCGCTCCCTGTCATAGGACCCTTACATTGCATAGTTTTGGTAAATCTAATGCTGGTAATATACACAGCAATCTTGTACAATATCTGTAAATCAACTGAAAAGACCAGCCTGATTGGATAGAACTTGAATGGGTTGCTTAGATGTGTCCTCACGTGACATGACTTTGGTAAATCTAAAGCTAGCCCCTTATTTAAGGCCCACCTGCAACAATGTAGTGTAAGGGCCAGACTAATTGAATACAGAGTGATTGGATAGTTTAGGTAAATCTAAAGGAGATTGTAACATGTATGGACAGCTTTGCATGTAAAAGGAAGATTAGGTATTAGCTCAGGTTTAGAATGAACCCGGTCAAAATCTTGGCTCCTGCAAACCTGGAAGGGACATGGGGCCATCTGCCCAATCAGCTGCAAGGCCGGGCATTACCCCCCCCCCACCCCGCTACCACACGTAAACAAAGGGGTGGGATGCTTGTGCTGACATCATTGACCTTATATGGCCCCGTGGCTACATTAGGTCAATGTAATTTACCAAATATAGCCATGTGCCCATCACAGCTTATGACTGCAGCTGATTAGGCAGCAGCAGAAGGAGCATAGATGCTCAGGTTTGGCCCGAACCCGGTTCGAACCTGAGCTCATTCCTAATGAGGAAACACCTAAACAATGGACATGTAACCAGGCAAAAAATGTGTTTAATTTCGGATCAGTTCAGATTTTTTTCTTCGATTTTCAGATCTGAAATTTGATTCAGTTCATTATTCAGATTCCGGATGTGCCTGTAATGCAACCCTCAACAGCAAAACAAAAAACCCATCTGATTGGCCAGAGGCTAATCCCATTAGAAAACCCATCTCTGGCCAATCAGATGGGTTTTTTGTTTGGCTGTTGAGGGTTGCATTAACAGTCACATGTCCCATTTGGGATGGATCTGAATTTTCATTAAAGGAACAGTCAGATTTGTTCACATCCAGACTCATGCATCCGAATGTCCGACTGTAACGAAATTTGTATGAATATCCATTTGGAAGGAAACAAAATTTACATGTCTACTAAACAATCCCTTAAGGTTATATCCAATCAGGCAGACCCTTTGCAGTACATAATAGAGGAAATTGTACAATTAAATCATATAGTGTATGGAAGTGCATGAATGGAGCATGTAACTTATAAAGAATATCTGTAAAAAATAAGTCATGGTCAACTGGACTTGCTGTAATTTTCTTGAAGACATTTCACTGGTCATCCTACCAGCTTTCTCAATTCAGAATGACTTGTGCAAAAAATTATCTGGGAATAAATAATTTGTACAAGTCATTCTGAACTGAAAAAGCTGGTCGGATGTCCAGTGAAATGTCTTCAAGAAAACTACAGCAGGTCCAGTTGCCTTGACTTATTTTTTACAGATATACCATGACCTGGATGAATGAGAACCTTCACAGACAACTTATAAAGAAGATTATATAATCAGATGGAAACATGTATGGTCAGCTTATGCACAGTACATAAACACACATGTTCATGTCAGCCAGTGCCCCTGACCTCAACTTTATCTGTGCCAAGGGAAACAAACCTGAGCCATTGGGTTTTGACCAGAAAATTGGTCAGCCAGAAGGCGCAGTATCTGCCATAGTCATATGGTACCCACAGACGTGTTCTATCGCTGTCATCCGACCTTATCAAAATCAGGCATATTGCGCATCTGTCATCTGCTTTTCATGGGCGCATTAACGTTGACCTCCCTGTCGAAAAATCGGCTTTGTGCAGTTTTATTTAAAACGAAGCCTGTTGTGCCTCTCTTGAAGCCTGCGCTGATTTCTGCCTTCTTCTGGAGAGCCGAAATGGAATCTGTGAAATTCATTGAACACGTCTGATTTTGTAACCTCAGTAACGTTAATACGTTCTGTTACATTAAGTGCTGGTGGGTTCATGTCAGTTAGTAAGAAAGGCTTTTGTTTTCTGTTTTATGGACAATCTGTCAGGTTTTTTTTTTTTCAAGAGCGGGTAAACCCACAATTAGGCATTAATCACCTCACTGAGTGAAATTATATGGCTTAAAGAACTGGAGCGTTTATATTTAACCAAATCGGCGCAGCGTGGTCGGTGTCCCGTTCCTTTGCTGACAATTACTATCTTTAAACAGCCGTTCGGAAGGGTGGAAGTCCTTATTTTACATTTTGCCGGAACAACGTTGGGACTTCAGGCTAAACAATGTTCTTGCGGTCTTCTTGTTAACAGAACAATGAGTCTATATAAAATCGAGGTAGAATGGCAGCATTTATTTTTTCCCCTTACTTAGTAATTAACTATTTTTAATTTCAAGACTTTACATATTTGGGATCTATTCCTCATAGCAAATTATCTTTTACACCAGATAAGGACTAGTAGAACAGGGAAGAGTTCAGTTGCATCCACAATGCCATTCCACACGTTGGTGCAGGGGATATCCATCCTTGTGTGCTTAAGAAATTAAAAAGAATTCCAGGAATCAGGGATGTCCAGATACCAGTGCCGATACTTGGCATTTGCACGAGAACTATCAGGGTTGCAGTGGTTGTAGCTGGGACCTGGCTCTGGCGGGCATGGACGGATTTACTCTCTTTGCTGCCCCAATGCCAGGTTCCTCAATGCGCCCTCCTGTATGCAGACTGCATACAAGTGATCTCAGCGACTTCCCCGCTGTACATTTAGCTCTGCTTGCTCAAAGCAGGGCCAAATGAAGAAAACAACTACCCGCCCGATGCCCGGAACTACATGTCCCGGGAGTCGGGAGATAGGAATTCCACACTCCTGCTGCCCCTGTACCCCCTGCTGCCCCGGGGGACGTTCCTCGGTTGGCCTTGTGGGAAATCCAGGCCTGTCTGGCGGTCCACCACTGTCCTGAAATCATTAGTCTGTATTGTGTTAGAAAAACTGTCACATGACAATAAACAAAAATGTATCAGAACTTGTATCTGTGAGTGCTTTGACAAGTACTTGTAAATGGAAAAATGGTATCAATACATCACTTATATATATATATTTATTTTAAAAAATGCATTAAAATGGGGATGAACAAATCCCATGAGCTCCGTATGCTCCTTTAAAAATGACAGCTGCCTCCTAACTTTTGAATTAGGTACTTGGTATATGAACATCCCCACCAGGAATTATACAAGTTAGGGCTCAAATAAAGCTGATCTAATCACCTCATCCTCAGTCCTGCTAGGCTGTTAGACCGGTCCCCATAGCCTCTTCTTCCCCGGGCTCTTGCGGTCTAAGGACCACTGATGTCTAATTCAGGTCCATTGACTTGTATTAGACTTGACACCGAAGGATATTCCAAAGCCAGAGTAAAGGGTGGAGAAGGGAGCATTGACCACCACGGAACCGGGAATCAGGTGAGTATATCTGCTTTACTTGAGCCCCTTAAACAAAGCGAACATTTAACCCTTGCAGTGTGGGGGTAGCCTCCTGAAAGGTCAATTTAAATTCCCGAAGTTCTTCTTTAACATCTGTAGCTGCAAAATTACTATTGAGCATATTTTAAAAAGGAGTAATTGTGACATTCAGCCAACATATATAAATATTATGTTATATATACATTTTTGCTGTAGCTTACATTTTGTATCTTGGTATCCTGTCATTTCTTTATTTTGGTGCTGTATAAAAAAAAACCCTTTCCTCATTCTCAGCAATATGTGCGCTGTGGAGATAAGTCTGGCTGTGAAACTCGTGCGCTATGTGTCAAGCAAAATTCATGTCAGATGCTAAGAATAAAATTAGAATAGAATGCAGATGTTACACAGTTCCCTCCTGTTATGTCAACTATTCACCCTTTTATACTCCCTGCATTACTCCCACTCCTTTTCTTCCTATTCAATACAGCTGCTTCATTATGAAAGCGCATCTACTGTGTAACCTTTATGTAAAAGAATAATGTATTTTTATGAATGCACTTAGCTTAATGTTCAGTATCTACTCTACATTCATCAATGTAATGTTTAAATAATCTTATTTTCATGTAGCGTTTGTAAATCCTATATATGTTGTGTGTGTGTGTGTACAAATACACCATGCATAGGATTTACAAACTGTACATGGAAAAAAGATTATTTAAAGCCCATTTCCACCTCTTTAAGCGATTACAATTTATTATGGTAATGTAGATGTGCAGTGATGATGTATTGTATATGCGCGCACATTTTCATGACTCACATTACAAACTTTCTTAATGTTTTATGGATTGTTAGTAGGCCCGAGTCCTACAACTTGAAAACTGTCTCCACAGGAAACTCAGTCTGACACTGGGGTCGGACTTTAAAGCAGCTGACTCCCTCCTTGTGAGTCAGTGTAACAAGTTCACTGAACACCTGTTCTTGTTTTCCAGGATACAAGGGGGGGTTGCCACTAGGAATACTAACATAGCGCTCACCTCCGAAGGAGCCACTGAATGCCAGGTTCATCTCTAGTCTGTCTAGGGTATAATCTTCAGATGCCCACCCATTAGGATTAATGCTAATCACAGACGGTGTCACACTCCGTCCAGGGGGGTACAGGCAATGCCAGACACCTGGAATTAACCAGATAACTGCCACTATAAATCCAGCCAGGCTGACAACAGCCCCGGCTATCACTAAATGTCTAATAGCCACATCACAGAAGGTGATGGGGGCTACACTAATAAATAAGGGGACAGAGCATAAAGAGAGAGTGTTAATCTACACAGACTGCTTGCAAAGCACAGAGGTGACCATTTCAAAAGGAGCCATAAGGAGATGAAAAAGACAAAACAAAATAAGGTTCTGTGTTCATACACAGCAACTGCATATACCTGCTTCATGTTCACTCGGTGTATATTGCTGGCATGTTTAAAAAAAAATACATCTGCGGAGGTGGAAATGGGCTTTAAACATTACATTGATGAATGTAGAGTATATACACACCATATACATTAATATATACAGTATAATATGCATACAATACTTTACGTATATAATACATAACAGTAATCATATTGGGTTCTACTACCTGTGATTGCAATTCACTGTTTCCCCCTCATTGCAAGCCATTCTCATCTATGACCTTATTGAAGGCAGTAGACATAGACTAGAACTTGATGGACATTTAAAGTAGATGTAAACCCAATCACCAATATTTCATAAAGTGGAAGTGTTAATGTCATTTCAAAAGTGGTTCTCTATTTAAAAAAAAAATCTTTATTAAAATAATTCCTGCATATCCTGCCATGAAAGTCCTTGTTCAGGCACTTCCTGTTGTAGGGTGAAAACACTCTTTCCTTGTGTCTTTTGTGTTATCAACAGGGCTAGCTCTTTAATGAAGCAGCCTCAGGTGGCATGTCATTGGGGGGCACCGGTGGTGGTGGTGGTGGGACAGCCACAGCGTCCCAGGTTGCTAAGAGCCCTTACCAACTAGTGACACTCTGTGCGCCTTCTCACCCAGCTTACAGCTTACTGACTTCACCAGTTGCCAAGAGCTGAGTGGGAACTAGTAAAGTCAGTAAGCTGGCTGGAACAGCTGACA